TGTGAGATGCACTTTTGGGGTCCTCGGTTTCTTCTTTTAAAGGGAACATGGTGAGGGAGTGGCATGGGAAAGTATATATGGGGATTGTATCAGTCTGGTGTTCACAAGATGATTTATGGTGGTCTGGCAATTTTCAGGATCCTTAAGTTGACATAGTCTCCATTATCTGATCACATTGGAAAGTACCCTGGATTATAGTAGAGTCTTTAAAACATATCTGTCTTGCCAAGTGCAGTGGCACATGCCTGTAATCCCAGTGGCTCAGGAGACTGAGGCAGGAGGATCTGGAGTTCAAAGTCAGTCTCAGCAACTTAACGAGGTCCTAAGGAACTCGGTGAGACCCTGTCTCTAAAATAAAATACAAAAAGGTTTCGGGATGTGACTCAGTGATTTGAGTGTCCGGGAGTTCAATCCCTAGTAGGTGTGTGTGTGTGTGTGTGTGTGTGTGTCTTTGCTTAATCTATTTATTACATAGGATAATTAACAGTGCATGAGGTAATTATCATAAGTGAATGAATTTCCAGTAAAACTAAAATATGAATGAAGATTTGTAGATTTCCCAGCAATTTGGGAGTGACAGGTCTGGAAGATGAAATGAGTTGTAGAGGGACAAGTCTGAGAGACAAAACTCGCTTGGGGAGGAAAAGTATTTGGAACACAAGGCTTTTAGATTAAAGTTGTGTTTTCCTTGCCCTTTCTTTTGTCTCCTTTCTTCCTATTTTTAATTTCTTTCTGTTCTATCTAATCCTTACTTAGACAACAGCTACAAGCTCAGGGATTTCCAAGTACTTCTGACCAGTTTAGGGCTTCCAATTACCCCCTCAGTTTCAATAATTCACTAGAATACTTTACAAAACTCAGGCAAGTACTGTACCCTGGAAAGTGGCTACCATTTTATTTTAGCAAAAACAATACAAATCAGAATGAACCCCCAAAATAGACACATAGGGCAAGGTCTTGGAGCATCCCAGCTGCAAAGCTTTCAGTGTTCTCTTCCCATGAAATCATCCTTCTGGCATATTGATGTGAAATACAAAGTATTATTATCCAGGAAAGCTCAGCCGAGCTTCAGTATCCAGAGTTTTTATTGTACTCTTTGCATAGACATGATTGAACTCAATCTCCCGTACCCAGCTCTGAGGTCAGACTGATATCACATGGCACAAAGCCAAAACCTGCTAGTCAAATAATTGGTCTTCTGGCATGGTTAGCCCCCATCAAGAGTCGTCTTAAAGTACTTATGGGCCCACCTTGAGTCACTTTATTAGCATAAACCATCAGAGTGCCCACCATGAATAATGAAGACACTCCTAATACTTGGGGAAAGACCAAGGATTTAGAGGTTGTTTCCTAGGAACTGGAGACAAAGGGCAGTCAAATTCTTTATTACAACAAACCTACACCAAAGCACATCATTGAAAAAAATTCAGAATGCCAAGGGCAAAGAATAAGCCCTAAAGGCTTCCAGAAAGAAAAACAGGTCACATGCAAGGGTTTGTAGAGCAAATGAAGTCAATCTTCTCAATAATAACTGGTTACTAGGAAAAAGAACAGCAATATCCATAAAATTCTTAGGGGAAATAATTTCTATTCTAGTATTTCATACCCAAATTATCAACAAAAAGTGAGGGTACAATAAAGACAATCTCAAAAATGCAAGTTTCAAACATTTTACTTTCCGAGCACTTTTTCTCAGGTAGTTGTAGAGAATGCATGCCACCAAAGTAGGTAAGTAACTCAAAAACAGAAAAAAATGAACTCCAGAAAACAGGGGATACAACACAAAAGAGAAGCAGAGGGAATTTCCAGGATCATGTTGAAGGGAAGTGACAAGATGACAATTGTGAAGCAGGTCAACAGACCAATAAGTTCAGATTGGAACAGGAAGACAAAAATTTCCAAGAAGAATGATTCCAAGAAAAAAAAAAAACATAACTGGTAGATTAATTTTTTGGTTTGTTTTACCATATGGAGTGCTCCCTTTAGCTCTGGTGGGAATGAGTAGGATTAAATTCATAATAGAGACAAAGCAAAAGAAAAATGAGACAATTTAACTCTGATAAAAACGTGTAAGTAAAGGCCAGGTGTGGTGGTGAAAGCCTGTAATTCCAGCACCTCGGGAGGCTGAGGCAGGAGGATCTCGAGTTCAAAGCCAGCCTCAGGAACTTAGCGAGATCCTAAGCAACTCATTGAGACCCTGTCTCTAAATAAGAAACAAAAAAGGCCTGGGTGGTTAAGCACCTCTGGGTTCAATCCCTAGTACCAAAAGAAAAAACAAGTATAAGTAAGGAAATGTAGTCATAGTATACTTGTAAAGTCAAAATACTATGAGCATTTGAATAAATATTTATTCACTTAAAAATTAATTAGTGAGGCCCTAAGCAACTTAAGTAGACCCAGTGTCAAAATAAAAAAAATAAAAAGAGCTGGGGATGTAGCTAAATGGTAAAGTGTCTCTAAGTTCAATCTAAGTTCAATCCCTAGTACCAAAAAAAGAAAAGAAAAATTGAATTATAATTCTACTGGAAGAATAAGAGAAGACCAAGTATAGAGGGAGAGACGGGAAGTATAAGAGCTATCTTCTTTTATTGTAGGATATCAATAGAAATTTTAAAACGAGGAAAAAAAATAAAAGATTATTTGTGTTGCTCAAAATATGGAAAGTGTTAGAAAAAAATAACAAAACAGCTTTTGGGAGCAGGAATCAGAAGTGGAAAAGGCAGAAGACTGAGTTGTTGTTTTTAATATATACATTTTTTAGTTGTAGTTTACAAGTATACTACATTTCCTTACTTATACTTGTTTTTTCTTTTGGTACTAGGGATTGAACCCAGAGGTGCTTAACCACCCAGACCTTTTTTATTTCTTATTTAGAGACAGGGTCTCGATACCTTTATTTTATTTATTTATTTATTTATTTTTATGTGGTACTGAGGATGGAACCCAGTGCCTTACACTAGCTAGGCAAGTACTCTACCACTGAGCTACAGTTCCAGCCCAAGACTGTTTTTTTTTTTTAATGTTGTCATATGTTTAGTTGATATTTTTAAAAACTATGCACGTGTATTATTGTGATTAAAAATGTGTTTTAGGGACCTGAGGATGTAGCTTTGTGGTAGATAGCTTGCCTAGCATGCATGAGACTCTGAGTTCAATCCCCAGCACCGGAAAAAAAAAAAAAGATTAAAGATATGTTTTAGCTCTTTCTTTTCTGTCATCCTTCTATGCTACCTAATGGTACACATGTGCACATGAAATCCTAGATAATGTTCTCAATAACATTGAAAACGTTGAGAAAAATCCTGGCGAGGTGGCGCACACCTGTAATTCCAGCAGATCCAGAGGTTGAGACAGGAAAATCGCAAATTCAAAGCTGGCCTCAGCAATGGTGAGGCGCTAAGCAACTCAGTGAGACCCTGTTTGTAAATAAAATACAAAACAGGGATGGGGATGTGGCTCAGGCGTTAGGTATCCCTGAGTTCAATCCCCCATACCAAAAAAAAAAAAAAAAAAAAATTGCTGAAGAGGCAAATGCCAGGGTTTGGATGTTTTTGTTTTGTTTGCCTTAGGAATTAAACCCAGGGGCACTCTATCACTGAGCTATATTCCTGAAACTTTTTAATTTTTATATTGAGACAGGATCTTGACAAATTGGCCAGGTTGGCCTCAAATTTTCGATCCTCCTGCCTCAGCCTCCCAAGTGGCTAGGATTATAGGTGTGCACCATTGTGCCAGGAAAATGCCAGGATGATATTAGACTGTGCTCCCAAGTCATTTTCCAATTTCTGAATATGATGCAAAAGAAAAGATACATTGCTGATTTGAAATTATTGATGACTGTGGAGCTGGAAAAATTGTTGTGAGCCTCACAGGCAGGCTAAACAAGTGTGGAGAGACCATCCCCAGATTTGATGTGCAAAGGTCTTGAAAAATGGCAGAAAAATCTGCTCCCTCCTGTCAGTTTGGTTTCATTATACTGACAACGTCAGCTGGCATACAGACCACAAAGAAACAACACAAAAACATACAGGACGGAAAATCCTGGGATTCTGTTTCCAGGGATTTAATAGATAATACAGATAAAATGCCTCTATGGACAAAAAAAAGTTTTAAGAAAAATAAAGGAAATTTTAAAGATTGCAGCTAAATTGGATATCCCTAGGGTAGCATTTGTTACCGTGGTGAATTTATCACCATTCTGGGTCCAGACATCAGCTCAGAAACCACAGTTGTTAGTCCTAAAAGCAGCAGCATCTCTATGGAACAGACACACATTAACCAGGCTCATGAGACTGATATTTCAAATAAGATGCCAATTCATTAATTTATAAGGGGAAGCAGGGCTTTGAAGCAGACTGGATCTTCCTGTTCACTGCTGTGTGCATTCACTCCCTGTGGGCGGATCTACATGGGGAACAGAATGGTTTATCAGAAGGGTTGCTTGGTGATCCAGAGCATGAGTGAAGTGGGGGATGAACTGGGTGGCTTCAAAGAATGATGCCTCCATCTCCCGTCTTCCTAGACCAGCATTTTTGTCCCCAGAGAGTGCTATGATGGAAACTGTGGATGATTACCTTGGCAACTCTCCCTGATCTCTGGCTTCCTTGGCTACCCACTCCCTCCTGACTGGCACTTTCTTTAGTGATATTAATACTTTTTTTTTTTGAGATGGAGTGAACTATATTGCTCAGGCTAGCCTCCAACTCCTGGGCTCAAGTCTCCTTAGCCCCCTGAGTAGCTAGGATTATAGTCGCATGCCACTGTGCCTGGCACTACATTAATACCTTTAATCAAGCTATTGTCTAGACCGGGCCAGAGAGTTATTGTCTCCACCAGACAAACTGGCACATCTCTATGCTAAAGCATTACAAGTTTGTGTTCAGTCAAATAGACAACATATTTACTAAACACCCATGCATGATATACTAGGTTCTGTTCTAAGCTCTGGGATTATGATAGTGAACAAGACTGACCTTTATCCCTGTCCTCATTGCCTCTAGATATCATCTACGAGAATGAAGAAGGGTTGCTGAGTAGGGGCTCCAGTGTAAAGAATATCCATTCTTCAAGCATAGATTCCAAGCCTCCCATGAATTCTATACCACAAATTCTCTCAATAAAGCAGTTTTCTGCTTAATTGTAGGTAAGGTTGGTTTCTCTCTTTTGTAACCAAGAACTTTTACTGATATCAAACCCATTTCAGACACCTCTGAACCAGAAAGCAAGTCACCAAAAGACAGTCCAATCCTTCTTCCTTGAGGCTGTAACCAAATTTAAGAACATTTTCCGGGAGCTGGGGTTGTAGCTTACTGGTAGAGTGCTTGCCTAGCACATGTGAGGCACTGGGTTCAATACTCAGCATCACATAAAGAATAAATAAAATAAAGGTATTGTGTCCATCTTCTCTCTCTCTCTCTCTCTCTCTCTCTCTCTCTCTCTCTCTCTCACACACACACACACACACACACACACACACACACACACACCATTTTCTGGGCTTTCCAGTTCAGCACAGAGCAGGGCATATAAGCTGTTTCAATAAAATCTGATTGGCTCGGTAATTCAGTAAGTCAGTTCATAAATATCTGCAAGAAACCCTTCTAGGTGCAGAGATTACAGAGCAAGTTAGGATTCCTATCTTTAGGATGTTCCACATGCACCTTAGTACCCAAGAACTCCAAACAGAGGGTGTAATCTGCCCTGCCTTCTCTTCCCAACTCATACATCAGCTCACACCTCAAGGTCCTCTTCTCCAGCCTGCTGGCATGCCAATGTGAGTAGTTTGGTGTTATTAAACCACAGAGTGGGAAGGAAAGGGAGGGAGAGCATGCAAGCAGGCAAAGAAAGGCACACAACCACATTAGTGCCAGGTAGAGGATTCTATATGTATTGGCTACTATCCTTAGATTTATTGGCTTAAATCTCAAGACATAGGGTATCAAGATGGCAAACACTAAGGAATTACATGTCCATCACACAAAGGAATTATATGTTCATCATCTTGGCCAAAAATAGGGGCAAAGCTTTAAACAGCAAGTGGCTAAGCAAGGATTTGAAGGAAGTTTCTGGACTTCCAGATAGCACCAACCCCGTTGCACCGGGGATTAAACTCAGGGCACTTAAACATTGAACCACATTTTCAGTTCTTCATATTTTTTACTTTGAGATAGGGTCTTGCTAAATTGCTTAGGGCCTCGCTAAATTGCTGATGCTGGCTTTAAACTTGCGATCCTCCTGCCTCATTCTGTTTTCTAATTCTATTTTGTCTACTAGAAAAGGTTCAATGTAGTGTTTTTTTGTTTGCTTATTTTGTTTTGTTTTTGAGGGAAGGGGAGGGGTGTAAACCCTGACCTTTCCCTGAAGGAAAAATGTCGCAGGGGATGAGGGGGTTAAGCCAGTGCTGCTAGCCTCCCTCCTGGTGCAGTCCCCTTCCTTAGGTATTGTATCTTCTTAAACCTTCCTAAGTACCCTGTGAGGTATTACCATCCCCTCATTTTACACGTGAAATCATAACCTAGGTTACGTTGCAGCCCGACGCGGTGGCTCATGCCTGTAATCCCAGCGGCTTGGGAGCCTGAGAAGGCAGGAGGAGCGCAAATTCAAGGCCAGCCTCAGCAATTTAGCCAGGCCTAGGCAATTTAGTGAGATCCTGTCTCTAACTAAAATATAAAAAGGTCTGGGGATGTGGCTCAGTGGTTAAGGCGTCACTGGGTTCAATCCCTGGTACAAAAAAAAGGGAGGAGGAGGAGGAGGAGGAAGGAGGAGGAAGAAGAAGAAGGAGGAGGAAGAAGAAGAAGGAGGAGGAAGAA